GCACTTCAGATTCTAGGTCTCTAAACCACCAGGCACCTTCTGGACCACTTAGATTTGACAAGACAATTTTTTTTTATTTTAAAAAATAAAAGAAGGTAAACACACTAACAAACACATCCATTTACAAAACAGCATAAGAACAACACAAACAAAACGGAGTTACAGACAAAGCTGTAGGAAATTAACCATGGTTGCTGTATCACTTACTGATATCTTCAAAGTGGTTTCTCAGGAAAACAGAGACATACAAGATTGATCAAACAAGTAATCATTAACTGTTCCTTTCCGTAGAGCAATAGAAGACAGTAGTACAACTATGTTAACTATCCTACATACTTACATAATTTCCTCTTCTTTCCCATCTTGTTTCCCACACCCCTGTTGCCCTTTACTTTTGAGCATTTTCCTTTCGTTTCACAATGTCTATCATGCCTCCTACTTTTTATTCACTCTTTCAGGTCTTATACTAGTGAGACAATACAATGCTTACACATGCAGGAACAAGACAATGTTTTAAAGATTTTTTATGACATTTTATGACAGAGTTAGCCTCCACTGCCCACATCCAATTTTATTGGGGGGGTTGGAGCACAAGGCCTTTCACATGTTAGGCAGGTGCTCTACCACCGTACCACACCCCAACAACTATACTTTTAAAAAAAATTTACTGCTTTTTGGGGCTGGGGATTTAGCTCAGCGGCAAAGCGCCTGCCTTGCAAGCGCAAGGTCGTGAGTTCGGTTCCCGGTACCAGAGAAAAACCAAAACAAAAAAAAAAAAAAAAAAAAAAAAAAAAAAAAAAATTTACTGCTTTTTAATTGTTCCTGTACTAGTAGCACAGTTCTCCCTAAACCAGTGATGGTGAACTTTTTAGAGCTTTGAATGATAGCAGCCTGCTGCAGCACACGTGCCGTAAGCTCACCACTGCTGCCCTAAAATTATAACCAATTGAAGGAAGATAAAGATTAAATTAAGGGAGCTCTTTGCCTTCTGCTGTCTTCCTCTCCCTACCAGTCCTGGCAGATATCAGCTGACAGCAGTGGGAACCACTGAAACTCCTCTATATCAAGCTTCTTTAAGTCCCAAACCTGAAATCTAAAAGTAGTGGAAATTCTAAATGCCATTGCCAAGTTAAAAAAAAGAAGTCATTGGAGTAATCAACCTCTCCTCCCATCTTATCTTGAGAAATATTGAACAGAAAAGTCCTTTTATTTTTTTAATTTTAAAGAGAATAATAAAAAAAGAGCAATAGCAAAATACCAACAACATAGACAAAAACAAAACAAAGCAAAAACAATAAAAGTGATACAGGGTTTCAGAACAAAATGACAGGAATTAACAGGGGTTGTTATATTACATATTGTTATCATCAGTGAAGTTGCTCGGATTAACAGATGTGAGAATGCAAGACTGATCAAACAAAAAGTCCTTTTAAAGCGTGAGGGTAACTGCAAAAAGGGAGAAATTGTGGGCAGTTCTGTTGCTTACTCTGGTTTCTGTTCTAAAGTAAAGAAGGTAAGAAGCTCAGATTAAGAAAAAAAACAACCCAGAACCCAGCTGTTTTTTTATTATGGTTTGTTTGACATGTCAAATTGGAATAGAAATATTAGTGATGGGGCAAAGAGAGAAATCATACCAATAAGTGTGGAATTTTAGAGTAAAATGGAGGAGACCTTTGGGCTGGAGAACATTTCAATATATGCCGGTAGCGACTACCACTGCTGAGAGTGAGATGCTGGGTGAATGACATCTTGTTACGCTGCAGTGGCTTTGGGCTAACAAGTGGCCAACACAAATGAAGCGAAACTTGCGCACAGTCTTAGAGTGTCCTAGTGTCCCCAGGAGGGTGTGGTGGAGTGGCCTACACTGAAGAGGACTAAAGAACAATTATAGGAAATTTATGGGATCTGAGTGCATTCCATGCTGGGGCAGAGTGCAATATAACCATATGCCCGTAGCTAACTAAGCAAGCTTTGGCTCCTCTAGAAAAGAAATTTTGTCTGAAGCCTCATTTCTAGATTGTTACAGGTATAAAAATAGAATGAAATATCATGGATTCCAATTCTCCCTTAAAATCACCTTGTCTTTGTACCATGTACCATCCATGGGAAAATCTTGTTAATTCTTCACATCTGCCTGTCTACACACATACAATATAAATCCTTATGAAGGTCCCCCCACTTCTCCAATGCTGGGACACCACCTCATGTACTTAATTCCTCACAGCACTTCAGATTCTGGGTCTTAGGTCCTTGTTCTCTGCTCAGTAACTTCGAGCGTACCCAATTCTTTAATGATCAGACCACTTCCTTATCTTTATGATGAAGGACATTCAAAGGAGAATATCAATTTACTTTTTTGTTTTAATCTTTGATTGCTTTAGGTGCAAGCATACTCTTCCTAAAAGTTTAGTATAAGCTCAGACTTGTACCACAGCATCTTCATGAAAGTGAGTCATTATTAAGGATGACAAAACTATAAACTTATTGAGATTACTTCTTCATTGACCCAGTATCCAAACTCTTGAGAAACAATGAAGAGGGTAGCTTCTGGGACTATTGCAATGGGTCGCTTTTATGGCAATGACAGCAGAGTTCCTGAACACTGATTTGAGAGCCATGCTGCCTGTGTTGAGACCCACTGAGACCTAGGTAACTTGACATATAACCGTGGCTCTGTTTTCAGCTGTAAATGGGGGGAAAAAAAAGCAAGCCTCACCTTGTGTGTTATTGGAAAGATAACCTGGTTTAATATAAGAGCATGGAAAAGAGCTTACCACACAGTAATCACAGTAAGTGTTGGCTGCAATGAATGCTATAATTGTGTTCCTAGGAACTCAGCAACATTTAGATTATAATGGAATGTTAAACTGTACACATTCTCCAGGATATTTGTTAATTGCAACTGTTAAATGAGTAAAACTTCAAGGAACATGTGCAAAGTTTTAGCTACTGCTGGTAAACTACTTCTTTTGATCTTTTATAGGCTAAATGGAAAAAAATCTCTCTCTCTCTCTCTCTCTCTCTCTCTCTCTCTCTCACACACACACACACACACACACACACAACACACACATAGAAACAGAGGGAGAGAGAGAAAGACACAGAGATGAAAACAGGGTGAAATAAATATTTTAATGACATAGTCCAGAGGGAACAACTTAGCAAAAGTTTAACACAAAAAGAGAGAATTATTGCTGAGATTATGGTCTGATATTATTTATAAGCAGATAGTTTAAAGATTTCAAGGGATGACAAGAGGGTAGCCTGTACATGTGTGTCTTACTTTCTCATTGCTGAGACCCAGTACCCGACATCAAAATGTTAAATGAGAAAAGGTTTATTTTAGCTCATAGTTTGTAGAGGTTTCAGTCCATAGTCAGCTGGCTCCAAGGCAAGCAGCATGGCAGAGGGGCATGGCAGAGGAGGAACCGGCTATGGTACAGCAGGCAGAAAGCAGCAAGCCTTCTTTCTTTCCCTTTTTAGTCCATCCAGGCTAAAGCTTATTGGTTGGTGCCACCCACACCTAGAGTCTTTCCTCTTCAGTAAGTCCATCATCCACAGGAAGAACTATGCTAAACCAACCAGTGGACTAATCCAGTGATCCAGTCACTCCCAAAAGCCCCACTTATGAGCACATGAGGCTTTAGACAGGTGGAGGCTCTAGATATAAGCCATAACTGTGTGAATGCAGTTTTCCCATCTCCCCTTGTCAGAATAGTTCCATTTAAGGAATAAAAAAATAGCTTTCTTCCTAAATTTGCAGATATCTGTAAATAATGTTTAACCCAGAGGGAAAAAATAATTTACTTTGATTTCATCGAAAGCACATATTCTAGGATGTCAAAATAGAATATTTATTGCTGTGAGAGGACTGATTTATCTGCAGAAAGATGCACTGCTTTTTTCATAAAATCAGAGTCATTTCTTGAAATCGGCTGACAAAGAGAGATGGGGACCAGACAAGTTCCTTCTAGCCCTCAAGCAGCTGCCCTACATCCCATAATCTTCATTTCCTACCAGGCCTCAAATTCCTGCCAGAGGGGTCAATCCTATGTTTAGAAAATCCAAAGACTTGTTTAAAATATCTCATAATCACCTGAGAGAGGAGTGTGTGTTCAGCTTCTGTTAGCATATTGTACAGCTCTACGTGGTCGGCTAAGGTACTGCACCCTCTGTAAGTTACCAAGACCTTGTCCTGAAAGATGACTTCCAATGAGTGAAGAAAAAGGATCTTTGAGAACTGGAGTAATGATCGCAGAATGATTGTTGTTTTGATAAGGGGGAGTTTCAGGGGCCTCCAAGCACACTGACTTGGCTTAGGTGGAGGATGGCACAGTGGCCACCCAGTGTGGGGAAGGATGAGAATACTTTAGGGAAATGTACTTTATAACGCAAGAAGTGAGTTACCTCCCTCTTGGCTTTTATCTCTCTCCTCTCCTATCTCACGCCACACAGATTTATTCAGAAAGGGGTAGAACAGCAAAGAAGAATTTGGAACGGCAAGTGTCAAGTATAGTAACATCATAGTCTTTGCTGCATTGTGTGTTTCCATCCTATTAAAATGTTGGTCAGTAGTTACACATGCAACTTTGTTGGAGGAATTTTGTACTAAACAAAGGTCAAGGAGAGAGAAAACAAGGAAATGAATCAGCAAAATATATCAGAGGCTGCCAACGTGCCACTTTCTGCTTCATGTCTAGCTAATATGACCCTGGGTAAAACACCCCTAATTTACCCACTTCCAGATAATTACTAAATTGTTACTAGCTGTAATATGTGACAAACTAAAAATAACAAGTATTTGCACCATTTCCTTCTAAGAGCTTTTTGTTTTGTTTTGTTTTTTGTTTTTGTTTTTTGAGAAGTACGTATCAAACTTTGTAATGAAAAAATATATCATGATAAAGTTATTCTCAGTTTGACCTTGTTGCTACTTTGGTGATTTTGGGGGTTGTGGGGCAGGTCCCGCCCACCTATTTATTATAACATTTCTTTTCTAGAGCCAGAATAGGACAGACTCATATACCATTCTGATCTGGGTGCATTTCTTCAGAAGGTATGCTGACCTTATGGGAAATTACAACTGCCTGGGCCTGGGGCTGACAAGGCCAGGGAGGAAGTTATCACATGCACTTTAACAAAAGATCTCTTGATTAGTTAAGAAAATGTGACAGATGATGGGCAACCAAGAATATGAACATACCCTAGCCTCTCCCTAACATTAATTTTTATATGGTATCCCCAGTAGAATCTCTGGCTTGAGATTCTGCACAGATACTCTTGATTTAAGCTAATTGATTTAAAAGAAGCCAATGGGGGTATCAGAGCCAAGGCAAAACCACAAACATCAAGATAACTTGCTTTCTCCTTAAAAAGTAATTGTTTTAGAATTCTCCGCCTTATTTGACTTTGATATTTTTTCCTGTGTAGGTGTTTGAACCTATGGTCTCGAACAGTCATGGTGAACATTTTAGAGACGAGGGCCAAAACTGCAACCCAAAAGCCACTTATTTATTGCAAAGTGCTGATACTGAAATTCAACCTGAATACTGAGATTTTAGTTTAGAAAAAACATCTTATACACTAACATCTTTTGTCTTTAAAGAAAAACAGCATGCCTGCCATAGGTTGGCCACCACTGGTCTTGTGCATGCTAGACAAGCACCCTGTATCTGAGCCATTACCCCATTGCACACAATGGAATGTCTTACATGTGTTTTAGAAACACTGTATGGCAACAGTAACTAAACCCTGCCCTTGTTCTAAAATTCCTTCCTTCTTGCTGTGGAACAGCCACTCTCACATAATCTGTACTTGTTATAGAGGATGGCTGTTACTCACTGGCATGTCACAGGGCATGGGGAATCCACATGCTTCCTATCAGCACGTTGAAGCTCTACCACACCACCTCTGTTGAGTTTTTCTGGCTCTCCACCTGTCCCGGAACACCTGACTTGGAAAGGACAGAGAGAGCCCCACTGCCTCAGGATGTCACTTCTGGTTGCTTGCTGACTCTAACTCTTGGCTGTCTGTTCTGAAGTCACATTGAGCACACATTGTCTGGATTTTGCTCCACTTTTGCTCGTCTAAACTGAGTATGCAGGAATCTACCTTAAGTCTTCCTTCCCTTAAAAGCTAATTTAATTAGTCCTCTTACTTCTTCAGGTCAAGTTGGTTCAACCTTTGGATTGCAAAAGAAGAGAAGTCTAGAGATCATATTTTAACCACTTTGACTTTTTAGCTCTGCTGTAAAGAAGTGCAACAAACCAGTCACTTAAAAGTAAAGAAAAATACTCTGTCACAATTTTGAAGTCTGGAAGTGTGAAATCAAGTTGGCAGGGCCAACGTCCCCCTGAAGTCACGAGGGAAGAATCTTTGCCCTTTTCAAGCTTCTGGTGGTGCTCTGCACTCCTAGGCCTTCCTTGACTGATGGTAGCATCACTCCAATCTCTTTCGTCACATAATGTCTTCCTTCATGTCTCTATCCCAGTCTCTCTATGTAAGGATACTAGTCTCTGGATTTAGAGCCCACCCTACTCCAGCATGACGTCAACTAAATTGACTGCATGTACAGAGATCATGTTTCCAAGCATGCTCACTTTTATAAGTACTAGGGGTCAGGACTTCCAGCATATCATTACAGTGGACACAACTCATGCCACAACCGCCACTGTTAGATGTCAAGTCATCTCCAAATAGGAAGCAGTTCCAGAGTATCTACTGCAAGCTCCAAACACATCCTTCACTTCCTAGACTCAGCACTTACCCTCTTCCACATCTGTAGAACTGACCTACTCTCCAGGGGCCGAGGAAAGGTGTGACCAAATGTCTCCCTGGAGGGACTGTCCCACAGAGCAGGCTGTTTCTGAGTGAGGCCAGCACACAGAGGACTAAACACCTCTCATGCTCACCAGGCATTCTAGTCTCTCTTACAAAGCACAAGCACCTGAAGGCTATCTCTGTGAACATCTACATAAGCGCACACCTTACTTCTTCTTAAGTACTATGGATTCCCATGCAATAGATCACTCTTTCTTTGACATTTTTCTGTCACAGATGGATGCCCTTCTACTCACACACATACTGAGATTATCTTCCAAAGGGATGAGATCTTTCTAAAGGCTGAGGTTTCCCTTAATTGTTGTGGCTTTGGAGAGCTATACGTTGTCCCAGGCTTGTTTATTCCCACCCAAACTATTCAGAAGATCACCATGCTCCACTGTGCTTTCATTTTCTGCTGATATATTACTTTCAAAAGGGAAAGTTTGACTTCCTTAAATTTAAGTCAAGTTTCACATATGCATGATTTTCAAGAAAGGTCAAACATCAGGGCACAGATAAATTGTGGGATTTATTATATATGATCTATAATAAAAAATAATATAAAATAATAAGTGGGATATTTAGTCCTGCATTTACATACTGATTATACATATAATATGTACATATATCATACATATGATTATATGATATATATGGAGAGAGAAAGAAACTATTTTCTAAAAGCTAGTCCTCAGTTATGGCATTAGACTTTGTGTAAAAACAAAGAAAATCTTAGAAAAAGTAAAATGAATACCGAGGCTTAGTTAACACTGCAAGACATTTCATAAATATTTTGCTAAGTAGGTACAAAAGAAAGTGATATGTGATGTGACTATTTTGCATTGTGCTCCGTTCAACGCCAACTAAAATTTCCCATTTGCATTAACCATCTGAGCTGTTTTCCATTTAGAGGATATTCTATTCTAAGCTCCAGCTCCTCCTATTTTAGGTGGGCAGGATTAGAGCCTGTTTTTGTGTCAGGATGAGACAGTACACTCAAGTGAGCTCTGCGTATCATTGATGAAAGAAAAGATTTAAGTTAACCATTTGGACTTTTTAAAAAGCCTTTTTAAGCACCTAAAAGAGCACAGGTAGTTGGCCATGAGAAAACTCTACAGAATAGTGAGTCATCTACTCCCTAATAGAAAAAATTATCCTTTTTTTTGTTTCTAAATTAGCATATTACTTTGTCCATAACAATGGAATTTGGAAAGTTGATCTGCAAGTGGTCAGAAAAAAGCTTCTTCCCAAATTCCTACTAGCTGATACCTGCTTACCTGGCAGCAGGCAGGCCAGTAGCCCGGGTGCCTAGCTCTAAAGATAGGGCTGCATTTATAGATGGATCTGCTCAAGTCTGTGACCACTGGGGAAGAAGGGCCCTGAGTTGAGCTATTACCATTTTTCACCTCTGAGATGACCCAGTACAAACCAAGTACTGCAACCTGCATTCACTCCTGACGCTCAGTGCAATTCATACAGAACTCTGTGACCATCAACTCTTGGGGGCAGTAAAAAGACACTTGCTGAAGGCCTGCTTGGCAGTAACAGAAATGCTGAGTCATAAGCGTATTATAACAACTCATTGAGTGAATATGCTGCCTTTATTCTGAAAATGCATCAGTGCTGAAATGTATGACTTGGTAAAGTTTCTCCATTGTCCTCTTTGTATATTTGTTAGAGTCGGGTTTCTGTCACTATGATAAAACACCCTAGAGAATAAACTTACAAGGGAAAGGATTTATTTTGTCTCGTGGTTTTAGAGGCTTCATTCTATGGTTGTTTGGGCCTTCTGCCTTTGAGCCTGTGCTGGCACAGTACTAGTGGTGGGAGCACAGAGGGTTCACCTCATGGCAGTCAGAACACAGAGAGAGGAAGGGGTTGGAGGTCAAGAGCACACATGCAATGACCCCTCTTCCTCCACCAGGCCCCTCCCAGTAGCACAGGTTGGCAACCAGGCCTTCAGTGAGTAGCTTTTGGGCAACATTAAGATCCAAACTATAACAGTGTCTTGATTGGGAGGAGACACTTTCATAAAGGGAAAAGAAAGGTGACTTGTTCCTAGTGATGGTTGGTGACAGTAGTGGAGTCAGATCCACACGGTGAGAATTCCAGGCTCCCAGCCCAGGCTTCTACTCAATTAGTGACACCAAAGGAAAAAAGTTAAATAATATAGACTGCAACAAAGAAGTTAATTTTTATGAGATTTCAAAACATTCTCCAAAGGGACATTTGGGGATGTTTCTTTCCTTTTTTAAAAAAATCATCTTGACCTTTTAAAAAAATAAAATGGAATTAGACTGTCTATACTGGTTTGTATCTTATAATTTATTGTTCTCAGAATACTTTTTCCATATCATTAAAATATTTCTTGGAAATATAAATTCATTAACTACATGGGAAATTAGTAAGTAAATTATAACACCCCTAATAATAAAATATTAAAAGTTGATCTCTTCTAATTCTAAAGGAGCCAAAATTTTTTCTACACTGTGTATTACATTTTTCTTGGTTCACTGGGTTAAAAAAAGTTACATAAATTATAATGTACATGAAATGTTGTGGTATTTTTTTTCTCTACAAAGTGGATCATAATTCTAAAATTGAGCAGAACCATCTGGAATATGAATCACTGGACTAAATAAAAAGAAAAAGAGAAAAAGTAACAAAGCACTCTCCTAGGATTCTGAAGATCTTCGTTATTTCTTGTTTTTTACACACTGCATGCTGGGGAATCTAAACAAATGTTAGACTTGATTATTCTCGAAATAACTAACCCTGAGAACTCATGATTCATGTAGCTACAGAACTATGGTAATCGATTGACTGGATGGTAAAGGATACGTTCCCCAAATCAATGTAACCTAAGGGTGAGGTAGGCAGAGAAAGTCCAAGGCATCCAGTTCTGTGCTTTACTTATTCAGAAAGTGGAAATATGGAAGACAAATTCAGAATGAAATCTTGTCATAATCCCCTTAGAGTGGAGTCCTATGAATGACTGGGGATTTGCTGAGTGGCCCAGAAAAATATGAGTAAAAGTCAATGAAAAGGCTACATTGCCTTGTTTTTTCAATGCACAGACATAAGCATTTTTTGCCAAGCACTTAACTTGTTTAATACTGGTGCAACTTGAGTGGCTAATAAGAAGCAGTTTCTTTGACAAAGATGCGATCATCCTATAGGATGAGGAACAATGATCACGTATAAAATTTTGATCATGTGCCATTCTCTGTACTA